GAGAGAGAATCTGACCTGGAAACCAAAACAGATAGTAGGAACCACACTGAAGATGGAGGCCCACGAGTCCAGTCTGTTACAAATAACCAAAATAATCCACCGATATTAAACTCATATGAATAATATATACATGCACTCAACTTTATGGAAAACATGTACTTAACATATAACTCACCCTTGACTGTGCTCTGGTGTGAGGTCTGCTGTGTGCTCATCTTTTAGATAATACTTTGCGATTACGGCTACACTCAGGTATGTAGCAGCCAAAGTTCCCAATACACTGGCAATTAAACAAAGAGATATTAAGAGATAATGATGGATACAGCAGGTTGATATTAGGACAGAGGTGGGAGAGTGATGCAGTACTTTTCACTAGACCTTTAAATTATGGAATTCTATGGTTTAAAAAGATTTAGAGAGTAGCAGATATATGTGTCAGCTTTCAACACACCTGGTGTATTTCTGGATGCCGATCTCTTTGGGTATAGAGAGTGGAAGGATGATAATGAGGCACATGACAAAGAGTGCAAAACGGTGATCTGTGTACCAGTGATATGGCATCTCTCCTTCTGTATTTCCCGTCACTGTCTCATACAGAGACAGACACACTGAAACACACAGACACTTATGTTCAAAAGGGTAAAAGATACTTTTGTGTCTTTGTCATGTGTATATATACACATTCACCTGTTACAGTTACTCACACAAACCAACCACCCCTGCCATATTGTAACAAAGTGTCAGTCTCTCCATTTAAAACTCACTGGAAAATATTTATACTATAGATAACAATGAGCTCTACAAATATGACTCACCCGTGAGAGTATAAATAAGCAGACAGAAAATCATAGAAGTGACTGAGATGAAAACCCAATGTGTAATCTTTTTGTTTTCCATGCTGCTGTAAATAGCAATACAAGCTTCGTGACACTGTAATATAAATAAAGATGACAGTATATGAGCTTTCAGCAATCACAATTGTCAAAAGTGCAACACAGAAATGTGCAAATAGTGCACGATTAATTTAAAGAAATAATAATTTTATCTCTGCATAGAAAAAATAATCTCTGCAGAAAAATATATGATATGGCATCTCTCCTTCTGTATTTCCCGTCACTGTCTCATACAGAGACAGACACACTGAAACACACAGACACTTAAGTTCAAAAGGATAAAAGATCTCTTTGTGTCTCTGTAATGTGTATATATACACACACACATTAATCTGTTACAGTTACTCACACTTAAACATAATGACTCATAAGGAACAACACATACAACTTACGCTTATCCAGTTGATCCTGCACAACCACCAAAAAGGCCACAGAGATCATGAAGAGGTTGAAAACAAAGCAGATCTCACACAGATGGCCAATCCTCTGTCCACACACCTCTCGTACCACATCATGATACGTGTTCTGCCGACTGATTGATGAGGCGTAGCCGAGAATGACCAACCCGCTTATGAGAAAGACCAGAGATACCTGAGAGAAAGATGTTGAATTGCATCACAATCTACATATTCTTTTTCGGCCGTATCCACATTAGCACTGCTGTGTAAAAGGCTTACAGCTGTTTCTTTAAAAGTTCCTTGCTAATTAAAGAATGTAGTTTACTCTAAAATACCTACCACCTTTCAATTAAAAACAGTTTTTGCTGCTTAATATTTTTGTGGAAACCGTGATACACTACACTACATTGAAAAAAAAGAGGAATGAATAAATCAAAATTATTTTATTCAGAAAAGACACATTAAGTTGATCAAAAGTAATAGCAAAGACATTTAAAATGTTACAAAATATATTTTTTTAAATAAATATTAATTAAACTTTCTATTCATCAAATAATAAATACTGAAAAAAAGTATTACTAAAGTATTACTAAAACTGATAACACTGATAATAATAAGAACTATTAATAATAACAGAGCACCAAATCAGCGTATTAGAATGATTTCTGAAGGATCACGTGACACTGAAGACTGGAGTAATGATGCTGAAAATACAGCTTTGCCATCACAGGAATAAATTACATTTTAAAATATATTAAAATAGAAAATGGTCATTTTAAACTAATAATATTTTAAAATATTACTGTTTTACTGTATTTTGATCACAAATGTAGCTTTCTGAATATAAGAGATTTCTCTTAAAAATCGTTAAAACACTTATTCAAAGCCAGTACTGAATGTAAATTTTATATTAATACAGAATATCTCAAAGGATGATTGATTGAAAAATGTCACACAAATGCTTGTACAGCAAGATGTATACAAGTTATCAGTGGTTTAAAGATAGCCTTTCAAAAAACAAAAATAATAATAATAATAATTTGACTCTGAAGAAATCATTTCTCTGCTAAAAAAAAAAACATGACTCATCTACACTTGTCAGAATTACAACGCACCATCTCCACACTGATGGCTGTGTTCACGCCGCCAGCCTTCTCAAAAGCCCATGGAAAGTTAAGGAGTCCCGCGCCGAGGGCAGATTTAAGCATGATGAATATGGCCCCAAATGATCCAAGTCGCGGGACGTCCGAGCCCCGCGCAGGTTTGGATAGCAGACTGATGCTGCGTATACTCTCCCGGGCCAGTTCCTCCATGCTCAGTACGAAGGCTGAAAATAATCACAATACTAAAGTTCTGTTGTAGCCTATTCTAATACGAAAACGATCAAAGAAGCTTCCCTCTGTAAAAGTGGAGCGTTATGTCCAAAGCATCCGCGCTTCTCTAGTGCAAAATCTCTGTTCAGTTTAGTATAGCGAGGCTGTCTCAAGTAAGACCCCTTAAAAATGTCATCCCAAGGTGAGAAATATTGTAAAGACTTGCTAGCGTTTGTAACAGTGGGTTCCGAGTCTAAATGATTGCTTTTCTAATGATGCTCGTTAGGAGGAATTTGCAGCTGATTTCACACAGGAGCGACTATAGGCTACTTCAGCTTCCTTATCAAACGAGACCCTCGTTTTGTCTAAAACAGGAGGAATTCATGTTATTTTCTAAAGTGAAGCGCCGTGGCAATTTAATTAGTGCTCGTCTAGCGACCCTGTTCGAGCCCTTTTGAACAAACATTCATTTGAAGAGCTTGCTTGAGGCACGTGCCTCTTAAAGGGACTAAAACTCAGTTTGTTTGTGAACTTTCATTTCTTTGCTTCGTTTACATTTTTTTCCACTACATAATGTTCGGATTTATAAATCATATTAATTTAATTTAATAGTGTGGAGGCTCTGTCACTTTTAAATATAATAAATATATAACAGCTGGCTGTAAAACATAATGCAAATGTAATGTAAATATATAAAGAATATATAAATAATTATATAAAGAAAGAACATTTTTTTCTGTGTATTTACGTTACATTTACATTAAATTTAGTAGAGGAGCCAAGGCTATTCGGGAACAGTGCTGGGTAGATTACTTAATTCGTTTAACACATTGATTTAAATAAGATAATAAAGAATGAGAATGTGACGTAACGCCGCGCTGAGTTCTGGGAAACTGCTTTGTTTATCCGCCATACTTGCAGGATAGCCCTGGCTTTCCGCTATTGAGTTTAGGGCAGTATTTGATTGTTTGTCGTGATTGTGAAAAATGCCACCAGTGTATGTCATTCATACTGCATCGAGAATTGCAATAGTAACTCAGATCATCGTTCTGAGAGAAAACTGGACAATGCAATATGTTTTTTCGCCTTTTCTATGTTAAAACACCAAGGGAAGGAGGTCGCGGAGAAGACGCCGAATAGTAAATCTGTTAATGTCACTGATTAAACCCACTAACTCTCACTCAATAAAAGAATCACATTGCTGTGTGTTTTTGAAAGTTTTGATTTGGTTGGTTTAATAGTTAACATTACCTTCTTTGCGAGCATGACTCTCACTAGGCTTGTGAATTAGCAGAACTTGGAACAGGGGACTTTCTAAAATGCTTAAAGTGGCTTCATGTACCAAGACAGTGATAAAGACAAAATTGTAAAGCATATACTATGTGCAGATATGCATATAAGATCAAAATGTGAACGCAACGCGTTTATTTACACGTTAAGCATTTTCCTCTCATATAAAGGAACCGCACGCCAGTGGTTTGAGTCTTACCTCTCAGATAGGTCCTTCAAGGTATCTTGGAGAGGTGAAGTGTCCAAGTCGCAACATCTAGATACTGGGGTGCCACAGGGCTCAGTACTTGGACCACTTCTCTTCTCTGTCTACATGGCATCACTAGGTTCTGTCATTCAGAAACATGGCTTATGTTTGCCTACAAAACCACCACTGGCTCTGCACCCATTTACCTAAATTCATTACTTCAGAGTTATGGACCCTCTAGAAGCTTGCATTTTGCAAGTGAACGGCGTATTATTGTGCCAAAGAGGCACAAAATCACTTTCACAGACTTTTTCATTAACTGTTCCCTCCTGGTGGAATGACCTGCCCAAATC